GGAGGGGCAGCTGACGCTTGGGCAGTACACCAGCATGAAGTTCCAGTACAAAGAAGACCATCCTTTCGAGTACAGGAAAAAGGAAGGGGAGAAAATCAGAAAGAAATATCCCGACAGAGTCCCTGTGAGTGCGGTGTGTGAATGTATACTCGGACAGCAGCAGGGGATTGCAAGATTGCTGCTTGCGGGGCTTGCCTTACATGTCATGCTGCCATTCTGCCTCTCTTTGTTCTCATTATCAATTGTTGTCCTTTTTTTCCCCCCCTTTATTAAAGGGAAAGCAAATTAGATTAGTAAGCATGATGTTTACCTTGCTGTTCTAAATCCAGCCTGCTTTTCTCTTTAGTGCAAACCTATGATTATTTTTTATGTTGGTCTCTATTAGCAGTAGGTATGAGGATGGCAGGGTGTAATATACCCTCCCTCTTTCAGGAATCTGCAGCAATTTGACAGCTCGAATGCTGCTAATCTTTCTATGGCAGCCTGTGTGCATGGGGCTGGGGGGTGGGGAAGGAGCTTATCATCTGCTCTGTGAAAATGGAGGAGAACAACGAGTTTACCATGTACTCTTCATAGAAAACTAGAGCTGTATCCATGTTGTCAGATATGTTCCCTTTATTTTTTATTTTACTTTCTTTTGGCCTGTCTTTTCAGTATAGTCTTGTTCTGTTCTTGTGCTTTACATGAGAGAAAAACGACACTAATTTCTTAGCCTTCTGCCCTCCTGTTTAACCTTCTTATGGAAAAAGCATCACTTAGGAAACAAGGTTTTGATCTCTTAGCCAAACTTTACTTCCTCCTCCTTAGGTCCCTTTGGAATGCCTGTGGAAGGCTTCTAGTTTTATAATTACTGGTAATAATTGGAAAAAAAGAAATGATATATCAAATTAATTGTGTGGGTTTTTTTTTCCTATTAAATGTTTTGCAAATGTTCTTTCTTTCCATCCCCACTGGAGAGATCTGTCCTAGATTTACTGTCCGGGGTACTGAACTGAGACTCCCCTGTGAATCTAAGCCTAAGGGAAAACAGTTATGCTACATGTTTTCCGGAGAGACCAGCACCATTTTGTATCTTAGAGTGGCCTACAGCTGGGCTTGTAAAAATGCTGGAAAGTCAGAATTTGGGTGCATTTGGCTGAGCTGCAAATTCAGGGACCCTTGGCCTAGCATAGCACGTTGAGAATACAGCTAGACAATGATGAAGTGGACACTCTTGCGAGTTTTAAGATGAGGACCACAGAAAATGCTCTAGGTCAGAAGTGAGATAAACTATAAACTGAAGATTAGCATGGCAGTTTGTGCTCCAGATCCTGAGAGATGTGTCCAGAAAAGCCATATGTGGGGAGCCAAGGACCAGACCTGGTCTGGCAAGAGGTAAACGAGATCAAGGTAGAGGGGCATGAGCAGAACTGTAGGGAAGAAACTGGGACCCAAAGAGCAAGGTGTGCTGCAGTTAAGGATAAATGAGAAAATCTGCATGGGGAGGCCCAGATGTGGATTATGAGGGGGAAGCCTGTTGAGAGAGCTGCATATGGAACAGATGAATGCAGCTGACAGGGTTCTTTGCATCACATGTCTCTGCCCTTCCTGACAGCAGGATCCTTGAAGACGACATCCCTTTGGCTGCCTACATGGTAGTGCCCTGATGCATCTCAGCGTTTTGCTGAGATTATAATGTTGGCACAGTCCCATGTTACCGCTGACACCACCCAGCAACAACAAATATGCAGATAATCTGTTGCTACACTTTGGATTTTCTTTGTCGGGGTAGGGGGGGAGGGGGTGTGTGCATGCATGGGTGCGTGAAGGTTTTAGTACTTCAGAAAGAGATACCTGTGTTACCAGGCAAACTAACTGCTGTTGATAATCAGTTTAGCAAAGCACCTTCTTTCCTGCTCTGCTTCTTTGCAAGAGGGAGACTTGTTAAGCTCAGTGATTATCTAATTTGAATGCTTCCTGGGGATTTAGAAGCCCCAGCATTCTCCCTTCTTCCTCACAGGCACGATATACCTTTGGATTTCACCACCATCTTCTTTTCCTTTATTATCTAACAACCAATTACGATCTATCCTGTTGGGTCAGGATGGGCATATCACTGCTGCTGGCTAACAGTTCTACGTGTCTGCAGTTTTGGTAATTGTGAAGAAAGAAAGGTTTCTTTTCATTGCAATTTATTGTGTTAGATAATGCCTTGTAGTATGTGTGGGTAAAAGAACCTGCAAAGTGCTATTGCTGTTGAGCCGACATCTATTCAGTGAGATCTTGAAACTATCCTTCCTTCACAGCATTGTCCTATGTCAATTGCCTCTGCATAGAAATACATATCCTATCACAACGTATCTCAGAGAGCTTGAATGACTTGTACTAATCGAGGTGCTTGAAAAATCAGGTTCTTGAAAAGGCAGTGATGGCCATACTTCTATTTTAAAAACAAATTTAAATTTTCAGGACTTTGGGCCATGTTGAAAGCATCCAAATGAGGCACAGTGAAGAGATGGCCAAGTTAGTATCTCTATGGTGAGGCATTCTTTGCAGATACTCACTTGGTGTAGATAGAGTAGACCTGGATTATTATGGCACTTTGCCCAGGCTAAAACAGGCCCATCATCATAACACAGGAAACGCCATCTGAACATGAGAAAATGCTTCTTCACTATGAGGGTGGTTGAATATTGGAATGAGTTGCCCATAGAGGTTGAAGAGTCTTCATCCTTGAAGACATTCAAAACCTGACTGGACATGGTCCTGGGCAACCTGCTTTAGGTGACCCTACTTGAGCAGAAGGGTTGTACCAGATGATCCGCAGAGTACCTCTCCAACCCCAACTATTCTGTGATAACTTATTTTCTCTGTCATAATGTCTCACAGATGTGACAACGCCATTTTGGTTCCATAGAAGGCTTGATCCACATCAATTCAGTCCTTTCTATTACACAATAGAGACAGTTGCTGATTTGGGTTAGCAAAAACCTATGGGAGCATGGAACCCTTGGAAATCAGTCCCACAGTGTCTCAAATTGAGTATTTACAATTACAGGGTCTAAGGGAAAGGAAAACGTTGAGAAAGTTCAGAAAATCAGGATTCTCATTTAGATGTTAAAATGGCTTTTGCAGAATAGCAAGTCACATAGATTGAGTCATAATATATCTCTGACAGTTAAAAACTAAATATGTACCACAAAAAAAAAAAAAACAAACACTTTTCTCCACAGAAACTCAATAGTTCCATGGAAGCATTCCTCCAACCTTTGGAAAGGTTTCCTAGGCTCTTTTTGGAAGAACCTCAGGTTGTTTTGGAATACTGAGATAAATGTTTTACCTAGCACTGATGACAAATATTTTCCGGTAGCTGAAGATCTCTTTGCATGTTTGGCCTCAAAGCTACTGAACTTCATCTGTGTCACATATAATGAGGATTAGTATTTTGTATCAAGAGTCGCTTAACTCCAGAGGCCCAGACACTAACACATTTTTTAATTCTATTAGATGTTTATATGGGTAAGGAAGTATTCATAACTGTATGAAGTAGGGAAAATAATCTTAAAGGATGTGAATGTGCAAATTTCAGAGTATAAACTTAACTACTGAAGAACTAAGGATTTAAAAAAAAAAAAGAAAACTTCCCCAATGAGCTGTAGTTTCTCTTCATTCTTTGCTTCTTCCTAGGGCATTTGGTATTGGTGCCCCTAGAAATTAGGGTATGGGACTACTGGGACTAGGGCTGATTTTATGTCAAGTAGTTTGGAACCTGGAAACAATTCAAGTTATCTGTTATACCTCTAGTCTCTATGTGCTAGCCTCCTGGCAGCTTCTTCATACAAAATTAGCCTGCACTGGGACCATCAAGGTGACCTAATTTTTTTTCCAGCTATTATGATTTATTTTTATGCCTGTTCCAATCTCCATTTTATACTCAGTGTGCTTACTGCCTCAGTCCTGGGCTCCCAGCACAGCTGTTGCCAGTGACTTCCAGTCTTGTTCTCACTTATCTATTCTTTCACAGAATCACAAAATGGCCGAGGTTAGAAGGGACCTCTGGAGATCATCTAGTCCAACCTCCCTGGCTCAAGCAGGGTCATCTAAAGCACATTCCCCAGAATTGTGTCCAAATGGCTTTTGAATATCTCCAAGGGTGGTGACTCC